CTTAAAAAGTGGGACAGGAAGCCTTAATGTGTGTCATGAAAGAGGCCTACAAAGATGGACGTGGTCTACCAATGGCTTGTAAGGTCCGGTAACATCTCGAGATAAGCACTTTTGACCTCTTAGGCTACGTTCACACTGCAGGCGAAAGCGCATAAAATCAGACTTTTTTGACCCTAAACGACCCATATCCGATCATGGTATGACAGTGTGAACAGCACAAATCCGATCGGGGTCACTTTCGTATGTGGTACTGAATCCAACACATATCTGATGTTTTAGAAAGCGACTGCTGTTTGAATGGTCATGTCGCATTAAATCCATCTTTTACGTCACTGACACGAGACAGACTCCAATTAGCGCCGGAGAAGCACCCGAGAAGACATCGTGAATGCTTCCTGGCCATCCAGTGTAGATATTAATGAAACTGTTGGGAAGACAACGTTGGAGAAACGTGAACATTTTATTTGTACTGTATAATCTGCAGATTGTGACAGAAATCTGCAACTATCCTTTGAAGCACCGCTCCTCTCTAAAACAGCAATAAGGATAATTATTCGGCCATATGTAAATAACAAAATAACTTTACAACTTAAAGCAAAATTGGGAAACGTAAAGTCCGAAACAAGTCTTTATATTAAGAGCCATCAGTCAAACAATATTGTTTGGTCTGTGTCTAAACAGAGCGTGTTGTGTGTGACGTCTTCTTTTGCGCATGCGGGCCGCTTTTAGGGTTCACACTAGAGCGTGTTTGCTGTCACATTTTATTTGTAGTGTGAACAAGCAGACAAAAAAATCAGATTTGATCAAAAAATCAGAATTGAACATTAAGACCTGCAGTGTGAACGTAGCCTTTGACTTTGTAAAGTAATTAGAAATGCAGGCACTTCTGCACGGGCTTCAATTTTTAGGCCTAAAACCTGATACCATCTTCTATATACAGTCTACTACAGGCTCCTATCAGCTGGACTAGGTGGGGGCCAGGTCCAGCTCCACCCATTCTGACAGCGAGCCCCCACTTATTTTTCCCAAAAGTGCTGGATGTAGAAAGGGAACAAGCCCAGTGAAATAAACATATCTCAAGCTTGTACTTAATAAATATAGAAACATGCACACAAAAAACAAATCCAGAAACATGTTCCCCTTCAGGACGATGTCAGTACTGCAGGTTTTTATCAAAGCGGTTCTGATTCTTCACACTCACCCGATAGTAAACAAACAAACAGCAGCCCATCATCAGGATCAGCTCCTCAAACACACTTGTAATCAACTCTGCAGCTCCTTATCCTCCTCTTTCTTCCTCTCCTCTTCCTCCAGGTCGCTTTCTTTTAACCCCAAAGTCACATTCGCCCTCCTCTTTACATGCTGGACAGCACTTGAAATAATTTCTCCTTTGTTCGTCCCACCTCCTGTGAATCACCTCCTTCACAGTCACATTTTATTTCACCTCTTTTAGTTCTGTTAAAGTTCTCCAGGTTCTTGATTCAAAAGCCTCTTCTTCTGCACCTCCTCTTCTCTTTTCTAACCTTCTTTTGCCCGCTGCTTCTCTCCGCCTGCGTACTCCTGCTTCACCACCTCAGCCACAGTCTGAGCCTCCTCAGCCTCACCACCTTCCTGAGTGGATCTACAGACCCTCAGGAACAGGAACCCTTTACAATGTATGTGTGTGTGTTGTGTGTATATATGTGTGTGTTTGTCTGTCCCCTTGGTTCCCACAGGACAAACAGGAAATGACGGATGTTGGGGGGAAAACAAGACGTCTATAATTAGGAGCTGAAGGAGCACGGTGACAGCAGCAGGACAAACACTTACAAAGACTGATCACTTACATCTATCACACATTATTTTCACACAAAAAAATTAAAAAGTAATTATGAATTTTCTTTCTTTCTTGCCTTTTCATCAAATTATGTTAAAGGAAATTCTTCATTTTGCAACACAGATATTCTTTTTTTCTTAAAGCATATAATTTTGAGTAAACGACTTAAAAAGTGTGAATCACAAAAAAATTAAGCAGAGTGGGGCTAAAACTATTAACTGATGAACTGACAGAGAGAAATTTGCTTCCAGCTGTGCCGATCAGCAATGTTTTGCCTAATTATTAAAGGTGAAACAGCTCTAATTTCACTGGTTATACATTCTGCACAGTTCTTGTGTTTATTACAACATATTTTTAATGAGAATTCAGCTACAATATTACCAATAACCCCTGATGGCTTTAAGTGAATCACATTAATCATCGCATTACAGTGCATTGTGTTCTGCTGGGAAACCCTGGGTCCTGGCATTCATGTTGCTGGCACTAACACACAAACACTTCTACAGACCAGCTTGAACTGTGAGTCATGCAAAGCCACTCTAGTAGAGCCAGAGAGCAAAAATATAAAGCTGGAAATGACCATAATAGGTCTCCTTTAACATTAAAAACGTAATCACCTATCTGTTTTCTGCCTCTTTGCAGGAGTCGGCAGTCTAGGCAGAGAGGCCCAGACCTCCTCCATCTCGTCTAGGAAGACAAAATGAGGCATTTCTGATCCAGCTGAGAGACAGAAACTGTACAGCCTGTCCTGCGTCTTCTCGTGGGTGTCCTACCAGTTGGACATGCTTGAAACTTCTTATCTAGGAGGCCTCCAGGAGCCATCTGGGTCAGATGCCTCAGTAACCTTAATGTGGCGAAATGTCCAAAGCTAAACCCAGACACACACAATGAATCTGAAGCTGGTCGTGTCTCCCAAGGCAAAGTGGCTTGTTTTTGTGTTTTATTTAAATTAATTTAGTGATTATTACTAGAGGATTGTGGTTCTTGTGTATTGTTTACCAGGTTTCCCAGTAGGGACAATAACAAATTACTGAATTAAGTTGAACTGAACCAAATAGCCTAAATGTGCAAATGTGGGGCTTCAAAACAAGACTTTTGTGTGATGTTTAAAATAATGTCCTTATCTCCAAACCTCAAAACATAAAAATCAAATAAAGAAAAGGTAAAATCACATAACTTAGGTGAGACACAGCTTGCTGTTTTTTTTTTTTTTTTTCTTTTTTTTTTGCTGCATTTGTTTTGTTTTTTATTATGGACTTTGGCACATCCTGTGTTATATAATAATGGAGTCACAGCACAGTTACTGTAAGGCAGGGAATAACATGACTAAGTTCATGTGTGGGAATTGTTCTTACCCCTCTGAGGGTCCAGCCATCAGGAGAGAGGAGAGAGAAGGAGGATGTTTTCCTCTGCCGCTTCGACCTGAAGGAAGAAAAGGAGGAAGGAAGAGAGACCGATGAGGAGAGGAGAGAAGCAATAAAGGATGAAAGGAACATGATAGCATGCTGTTACCTGAAACAATAACTAAAAGAAGAAAAAAAGATTTTCAATTTGCTTTTCAATTACTGTTTTATTTATTTTATTTTTTAAATAACTTCACTAGGATTTAAAAACTTTAAAAAAAAATACAGAAATTAAAATGTGAGCAGTATTGAAAGCTGAGTTATTTCATTGCACAGTTAGCAACAGAAGATTAAGTGAAAACTAATCTTCATACTTAAATAAAAATTTGTTAATTTTTTTAAGGTTTGGTTTTTAACTATGCAGATTGTCACGATGAGTAAAGGAGGCAAGCCTTCAAAGGTGTGTAAAATATGAAGTGGGCAGAGCTCCACCAAGTGGTTTCTCAAAGTCACTACACCCACGACCTTCACACCCAGTGTGTGAAGATCTTTTAGGTGATAATTTTGTGTAAGTTTGGTTAAATTCTTTACTGACCTTTAAATCTTATGAATTTTGAAAAGATAATGGAATGAAGGCGCTCTGGCATGGCTTAGCCTCCATCAGAGTTAACAAAGCTTGGCTTCCATTTATGTGTATGAGGTCGGACGTCACCACTTTTAAAGAAAATACGGGATATTTGTACTTCATTTGTTTTTATAATGGATATCAAACTTTTAAGGTAAGCAGATTATTTGTTTAAGTAGTCAGACTTTCAGCAACAGTAACAACTGTAACCCACACAAACTCTTTGTGTCACATTAAGTTTGTAGACTAAACTATAAAGCAGCTCTGCTAAACTGACAAAGTGAAATATGGTGTATATTGGCATATGTATGTGGAAATAACTGGTGTGAAACTGCAAGTGTGTTTCCTGTCCTTATAACCTGACAGCTTCCCTCCAACCTGAGCTTCTGCAAGTCCTGCAACTGACTGTGCAAAAATTAGAGACACAATAGAGATTCAACAAAGTAACAGAAATTGTAGCAAAGGCCAACTTCAGCATCTCCCAGAGCCATCCACTTTTATTTACTGTTAATAGCACATTCATCATTTCTAATCTGAACAAAAGGCTTATGAACGCCGGTGAAGCTGCAGAAGAACGAGCAGACAGAGAGGACACAGACAGCCAGAGACAAACATGTTACATCATTAGAGCCTCTCCCTCTTCTGTGTGACACTGAGAGTGACAGCAGTCCTGCTCTGTTTCCTGGCCTCTCACCCCAGGAAGCTCCTAACTGTGTCTGTGACTTCAGTATCTACCTTCCCTCTGCTGTCAGTGGCACGGTAACTGCTGAGGAGTTCTCTGATTGGATGTTTCTTACTTAAGGTAGAACTCACTTTTAGTCAGTTCTACCTTAAGAATGAGGCTTATGTAAGGCATGTGTGGCTCACTGATAAACAACTATGACAATAAATGAAGTTACATCCAAACAAAGTTGCTCCAGAAGTTCTTGTTTCACACTAAAAAATACAGACTGGTTTGATAAAACAAGATCAGCTTTCTATGACTCACAGATCAGTACAATAATCATTCTTAAAAGGCTTTTTTCTGAAATAAGCTGCTGTAAACTAACTTTGTAAACGCAAAAATTACTTCGGTTATGCTGACCTCACTATTAGAAACTTTGGCCATGTATGTATGTATGTATGAACATCCATCACTGTGAAACTCCTAAAGAAAAACTAAAGAAAAGCATAACAGGTCCACTTTATTATTGAAAAATAACTTCATCGTCTCATATAATCCTGTCTTGTCAGATGCTGACCGTGTCTCACACAATGTCCACATTAGGAAGTTTTGGAGGGTGCCGGTGGCGTAAATATCAGGTTTAGGAGCCTGCTTGGACATTAATGTTTTTGCACTTGGTTTGACCTGCTTTTTCTACTACTATTTTCACTTGCTGTCTAGATTTAAGTACTAAAACTGTTAGGAGAAGATCCTTGTTTGGGTTTAAATACATCCCACTCACCAGTAACCCTTTGTGTTGAACAATGACTAGCTGGGAATGACATCTTTGTCTCATTATGCCATAACCCAGTGCCAACTTCTCCCAACAGATGACGCACTCGGGCTGAGGGATGCACAGTTTTTTCCCCTCTTTTTTCTTTAGATGGTAGACCATTTGTGCTGGTGGTTCATTGTGATTTGATTCACAGAAAAAAAGTGATCATTCCCCCACCTCAGAAGTGATCCCCTTCTCTAACAGGGACTTTGATGTGTAACTCTGTAATAATTCCCACCATCTGGCATCTGCGACAAAGCCTACAAAATATTGATATCATAAATTAAAACCTCATTCACCGTTTTAGATGGTGATTGGATGGTGTTTTAGAGGATGAAACAGGTCTAAATTGGAAAACAGTGAGCAGCTGTAAAACAATAAGATGCGAATGTGTTTACACACTGTGTATGGTGGGAGATGGTTCAGGGATTGCTGGTTTTTCTCAGCTTTCTGTTGCTTCTTCATTGTGTTTTACGACAATTTTCTAACAATGACATGGATGGCTCTGAAGTTACAGATGCTACCAGGCATCAGTATTTGTTTTGTTTTTTTAATCAATAGACCAAAAACAATTTCTGTCTCATCATGGCTCTAAAGTGTGTGTGTTTGCTTTTATGTGTGTGACTCATTCATTCCTGGGAGTTGCAGGGCTTTTTCCAATAGTGCAAACCATCCCACCCTGGATGAACTCACACACACGCACGCACACTTGCACACAGAGTTCTGTTTCCATCACTTCAGAGGACATTATGCCGACTTGAATACATGTACTATAACCCTTACTCTAACCTTAAACCTTAAAATGTTTTAAACTCAATTTTTTTCCCAAGAGGGAGGTGACGTGGTTGAACTCTCCTGCAGAGGAGATCAGAGGTGTGTTTGGCTACACGCTCCTCCAGTCTTTCCCTGCCTGTTCTCCTGGTAAATCTTTTATCCCCTCATCTGTTTTTAATATCTCTTTCTCAGCAAACATTCAGTTTTCAGACTAAAACAGGGCACTATGCTCAAGGAGAGGCTAGCTGTGGTGAGACTAACTGTGGGAGTCATTTTGGAGTTTTACATTGTTCTGTTCTGTTGATGTCATCATTAATAAACAGTAATAAACAACAACAGCAGATATGAAACTATCTGCAAATCAGTGGACTATTTAGGAGAGGTCCATGAAGTGGTATCAATCTCAAATGTCAAACCATTAAGGAAATCTTTCATTCTTTGTGCTGCTTCCACTTCCGTCAGCACTATAATCACAACACACAGCTCAGGCACAAAAACGTCTCATGAAACCAGCAGAGTGGGTAGGAACAATTATGTCTAAATGACAGACAAAAAATGTCACCTGAACAGCATCTTGCATTGTCCCTTGAAAGCAGCAGAACCACATTCCTCCAGAGATTAACTCCCCACACCCAGTTCATCATCTGTTTTATGACTCTTGAGAAGAATTTCAGACATAGCAAAAGTGGTTAAAATAAATTACACAGTGTCAGCCTGTTTTAGTTAGACAGCTGATAAACTCATCGTAAAGTACCTGCTAACACCAATCTGCCAAACTTTTCTATATAACGAGTGAGAAATTTCTTTCTGTTGGACTGAACCAGAGCTGAAAGTACTGCACAAATAGGACTGTACTGAGTTCATATCATTCATCCCTTTTTCATTACTTAGAAAAAGTACAAACAATCTTAAATAAATAAATGATTAAATGAATTTTCAAAGGTTGACCAAATTTAGCTTTTACCTACCTACAAGTAAAATCTTACTGTATGGGAACCATGAATGCAGAAATGAACAAATAGACCATTACAAGGAAAAGCTAGGAAAAAATGTTTTAAAGAAAAGATGAAAAATTATCAGAATATCAAGCACTAAAAAGAAAAAATGCAAACTGCAAAGTCACATAAGCCACATCTACACATTCTCTTTAACATCTCTTTTGATTTGCGAGTCCAACTTCTGGAATGGGAAGGCTCTCACGGGTGCCCAGGTGCCCGTTGTATCATTATTAAATGTTAATTCTATCTACAGAATTTATTTCTAAATTACATCAGCAGAGGTACATCCCATGAGCTGCATAATTAGCAGCTTAATGGGAGTAATCAGTCATTGTCTAAAAGTTCAGCTTTCGCCATACAAATGCAGCAGCATTGCATGTGTCTTTGTATACGGACAGAAAGTTTTCAGTCTGTATGAGCTTCGGAGAAATCATTGAAAGTTTCACGCGAGCAGTAGAAGTTAGTGGTATTGTGACTATTATCACATGCCAATCACCAATATGGTGAAAACAAGTATCAAAGCAGCAGTTAATCATTTGACAGTCAGCCTTTTATGGATCCCTGAAATGTGGAGAAACTTGAGTTACTACACGTACAAGTAACTACAGAACACATTTGTGTATGATTCATAATATTACTGAAGCCCCGAAGGCAGAATTCCTGCATACAAGAAAGATTTGCCTATCCCACAGAAGAAATGCAGGTTGTATTTACTGTATGCTTTGTTACTAAAACTTTGTGTGTGTAGGTGGTGTTACATCTAAAAACCTGTGTATGGAAGGTCTTTCAGTGTCTTTTTATTAAGCAGGACGAGACTTCCAGGTGTGATGTTTGTAACACGGCAAATATTGTTTATGCCGTTATTTACAAATGAGCATGGTAGCTACATCCATCTTTTAAAAACAGTATATGATGAACCCAGCCACGAGGGGGCCACAAGCCTGTGTACTCCTACTGCCGGTCCCAAGCTCAGATAAATTGGTTGCATCAGGAAAGGCATCCGGCCCAAAATCTTTGCCAAATTGAACATGTGGCTCATAAAAAAAAAAAAGAAAAAAAAAAAGGCATTTCCATATTGGATTAGTCAGGTTAACAATGACTGCCTCTGGTGCTGTTCGCCAACAAGGAGCTTGTGGAAACTGTGGTACTGATGGCTGAAGATAAAGCAACAGGAGAGGGGGAAGGCATGTTAGGAGACAGTGAGAGAGAAGGAAAGCAATGAGTGTGGAGATGAGAGTAGGCTGATATATATGGATATATTGTGTGTACAGGAGACTAGGTGGAAGGGAAGCAAGGTCAGGAGCACTGAAGGCAGATTTAAGCTGTTCTATTATGGTGGAGCAGGGGCAATCTTGAAGGAAATGTATATGATGGTGCTGTGGGGGTGAAGAGAATGCCAGACAGGATCACAAGTGTGAGGCTTGAAATATTCAGTTCCCTTTCAATTCAATTTTATTTATACAAATCACAACACCAGTCTCCTCAAGGCACTTTATATTGTAAGGTAGACCCTACAATAACACATATAGAGAAAAACCCAACAGTCATATGACCCCCTATGAGCGAGCACTTTGGCGACAGTGGGAAGGGAAAACTCCCTTTTAAATAGAAGGGGTGATGTTGAATGCTGTCAGTGAATATGAGCCACAGGCTGGATGTCAGCAGAGAAAGACTGTTGATTAAAGTAGACTTCAACTGACATAAAAGCAAAAGGGATCATAGGTGATGAGGAGGTCATGAGAAGGTAGGTTAGGTATGGTGTCAAATAGAGAAAGGCAGAAAATCACAAATGGTGGTGGATTTTGAAAAAGGATGGAAATGGCTGTGGCAAATATCCGCTTCAAGAAGAGGGAGGAATATTGAGTGACATAAAAGAATGGAGGAAGGTGCGGGCAGGTGGACAGCAGCTTATGCAGAAGGTACCATTTAAAGACACAGGAGACTGTGAGATGGTGTCAGGGGAGAATGTAGCAAAACAGCACTGGATAACAGTCTGTAGGATTACTTTGGAAATCAAAAAGAGGAAGTGAGTGAAGACAGAGGCTGAAGAAGGAAGAAGGAAAATGGCTGCACAGAGTTTGGGGGGAGTTGACACAGGCTTTAAGTGGTAGTTAAGGGTTACAAGAAGAGTATGAAAGTACAGCTGTAGTGCTGAGAGAAACTTCCAGAAAGGTATCTGATGTATCCTCTGGACAGAGGCTTGCTCTGGAAATAAGAAAGGGACTGAAATTCAGCAGAAATAAAGCATAATACATGTGTACAAATGAGTGGGAGGCAGATGAAACAGTGAAGTAACAGTGAAGCTGTGAGGAATAAACACCTGAGATCAACCATCCAAAGCAATGGACAGAGCACAAGAGAGATGTAGAAGAGAGTGGAGGCAATGTGGAGCAGCTGTCACAGAATGATGGCAGCAAGAAAGAAAGGGAAGGTTTACAAGACAAGTGAGTGAGGCCTGCTATGACGTATGGTTTGGACACAGTGACAATGACCAAAAGATGGGACGCCGAGCTGAAGATGTTAAGATTTTCACTGGCAGTGACTAGATTGGACAAGGTTAGAAATGAGAACATCAGAGGCACCACTCAGGGTGAACCGAGTGAGTGAAATGAGTTTTCTACATGTGCAGAGGAGGGATAGTGGATATACTACTCAAGCAATGTTGAAGACAGAGCTAACAGTCAGAGGAAGAAGAGGAAGACCAAGAGAAGACTCAGGGATGTAGTGAAGAAGGGCATGCTAGGGATGAGGTGAGACAAAGGTAGACGATCTGCTGTGACTACCTATAAAGGGAGCACCCAAAAGGAGAAGAAAAACTACAATCTATGATGAATGCCAGCTAGAGATCACCAGTGGGTAAAATTTTCCAATGCTATACTGTCTTAATTTTAAAATTCCCAGTGGATGAGAGCATGGAAATGACCGTGGTGGAACATATCTCAAGTACTTTTTGTTTATTTAAATATTTCTACGCTGCACTAATATTTTAGTTTGTACTCTATAACTTTTATCTAAAACCTTTAGCTAGTTATAATTTTGAAGTTACTGAAAGGTGATAAATTATCCTGTATTTATATGGATGAAGTAGCATCCAGGATATTCAAATAATCTCTCACTGCAGCAATAAAGTGACATTTTTTAATCAGTGATTATGCTACGATCCTCATACTCAGTCATTTTAATTTATATTTACATAAGTGACGTAAATACTTCTACCATTTCAAATGTTTAAAGTCTCTATGAAGCACCAAATTCCAAATATAACACATCTGTATGAGGGCACAGGACGGCAAATGAGGTTTAAACTCAGACGCTGACTTCTACGCTGTATTTACTGCCTGCCTCACAGAGTAGGACACCTGCACTAAATATGGTTATGGAAGTATAATTTTGTGAGCAGAAGATTTTTTTTTAAAAACTTGTTTTAGAGCAACTTCTGATTTGAGCTCCCAATGAACAGCTAAATTAGAAGTTAGTTCAGCTGATACTTATACAAAAATAACTGTCCAAATAGAGAGGCTTGCTTCTAGAAGGACTATGAATCCACACCGCCACACTGTATCCGAAGAGAAGCAGCTCTCCATCCTTCAGAGACTCGCTCCACCTTCTGGTTTGATATTTGTGGAGTGGGATTCGCACAGCAGCGGGATAATGAGCCCCAAACACACATCAAAGCCTTGAAGAACTACTTAAAAACCAAAGTAGGCGTCCCAGCAAACATGAATTTTCCTGAAATCACATGATCTCAACCTCACTGAACATTTATGAAGACCGAGGAAGTTCTTTATGAGATCATCCTGGAGCAGGGTGGGTAAACACCAGCTTCAACAAATGCTATTTTGCATTTAAGTAACCAAAACTAACACGAACTAGCATAACATCACATCACTCCAGAGCTTCAGCTGCTAATTCAAGAGTATCAGAAAACTGTGACTTAAACAGCAAACAAACATCAGCTCACACCAAACTGTCAGAGAGTCAAACTGTCTGCAGAAGACTGTTTATCTGAAATGTACCGTGTGGTACAGGTTAAAATCATAGCAAGGGCCTCACAAGTACAGAAGTACCCAGTGTGTGTGTGTGTGTGTGTGTATTCCTTTTTGCAAGCACTAGCTTGAGTTTTACAGCTTGGGAAAAGAGAGATCCTGTCTTTTGCTGCTTGAAAGCTTTCTTTTATGGCTCAGAATTGAATGAGGTGAATGAGGTCCAGGTTAAGTTCAGGGGTAAAGCTCGGGGTCCTCACAGAGATAGACTTGGAGCCTTGTTTGTGTGTGTGTGTGTTTGCACAAGCTATAAGTCACCCTCTCATGCAAACTTGTGACTCATGAAGCAGCAATAAAAACCTCTTTCTTTCAGTTTTTTCTCTCTTTGGTAGACTGTCTGCCTCTTCAGAGTCTCTTGACTTTAAATCTTCCACATGTATAATAACACCTTATAATTAAACATACACCGGGAGTGATAGAATAGAATAGAATAGAATTATAGGGTTAATCATAGAATTGCATGTCTTTCCCCGAAACTTTTAATACATTTTCTTTACCAAAAAACTTCAGAAAAAACGTCTCAAGCTTCAGAGGAGCTTCCCCTCACCTCGAACCCCGCTGACATCCATCACCTGCCTGCATCGGACTGCAGCTCCTCCCAACGAGCCGAAAACAAACCCTCTTTTTAAAAAAAACAAACAAAAAAACAAACAAAAACAGCAGTCGGATCAGCTGCTTCAGTGAGTTTTGCTCTTCCAGTGAGTGAAAACAAAAGTTTCTTCTTAAAATAAATGAAAGTCCAGCTTCAGTGCGAAGATTTGTGCCGGAAAACAACCTGAGAGCGATAAATCCTTCCTTTTTCTGTACAGCCGAGTCTGAGCAGCGCCTTCCTTCGAACCTCGCCTTCACAATAAAAGCATGGGTTGACTTTGAAGATAAAATGAGATATTACAGCAATGAGTACATTAACATATTAAATGTGTTTTAGAATGCATTGAGGAAAAATTAAAAAACAGAGACTGTCAAGAACAAATAGTTTAACATAGGGTTGTATTATGCATTTCCAGATCGGGCTTATTTTTATTCTACAGTAGCTTTGCATGATTCAGTCAAAAAAGGCTCTGCTCCTTGGTTGCAGCACCACAAATCCTCTCAAACAAGCTGTATTAGTTCCTCCACCTTTACACCAATTTTCTCCTGACTGGATGATACTCACTCATCCACAAAGATGACCATATTATATCTGCTCTCTATGACCTCATACATATCCAAGAGTTCAAACTAGACGTGGGCAGAATAATCTAAATGTTTATATTATCGATAGCAAAGTTGGTATTGTTATCGGACTGATATTAGTGCAATAGAATTGATACTTTTGTTTCCTCCAAGCTTTCAGTATGTAGCCTACTGAATTGTCAAATATTTTTTAAATTAATTGTTAATCATCTCTAAACCATGCCACGGTTTAAGCTTTTATTCTGAAAATAAAATCAGGCTGTTTGTAGAACATCTGAGTTTTAGTAGCTTCTGTTTATTTAAGCCTTGATGCCTCACAGCTCACAAACTATAGAGCTGTCCAGTGGGCTTTATATCAGGGAAGAGTGTTTGTTTCACCACAAGAAACTAAAACCTGTTAGTCAGCTTGAAGCATGTCACAGAGTAC